AAGGTCATTTAGAATTTCATAATTTTTGCAAAAATTTTAAAATATATTTTAGTAATTTTGTTTTCAATGCTGATTTGCTATTATTAACGCCAAGAAAAATGTTTTCGAAAATGTTTTCGAAAATGTTTTCGAAAATCGACAAACTCATTCGCTTTAAATTTTTACTTTTCAATTTCTGAAGTAAGTAGTCTTTTTTAATGTAACTCATTTTTTTTATCGCAGCTTACGAATACGAGTACCAGCCGAGATTTTAGTGTTACGTGGGTAAATATTGTCAATTAGATTCGAACTCGAAAAACAATATGTTTAATTGCGAATTATGTAAATATCTGCACCAAAATTTGTACAGTGGAAAAAACATTCGATTTGACTGACATTTCATCTTTAACCCTTTGTTAATGTTTCCATTTTTTGAAAGATAATCAAGTCATATACCGATATTTCAAATAAAGGGTAACATTTCTGTTTTAGCTACATACAAGTTTTCGAACAATATATTATACCTTTTCGTTTGTTTCAAAATATCAACACCAATATTAATACAAGCTTTAAATGTCAAGCAAATCACCGACTCAACACGAAAACACTTACCATAAAATTTAGTTTGTAACATCGAAATTTTAATATTGTGGTGAGTGACAACACCGGTATGTCAATGCAAACCACATATGAACATATACATATACACATATTATGAAGAAAAAAATAGAATTATGAAAATTAAAAAAAAAAAAGAAAACAAAAAAATATTCTGGAAAATATAATTTATCGCATGAATGATATCACTTATAAACTTTAAAAAAAAAAATTAAAAAAAAATTATTTTTAAAAAAATAAGAGCAAAAACACCAACAAAAACGCAAAAAAAAAAATTAACTCCATATTGAAAATGAAATACGATTTTTAACATTCGACTCCACAACAGTACGTGAGGTGAAAAATAATATTTTATTTCATACGTTAAAAAAAAAAAAGAAAAACAAAATAACGAAAATTCACCACAAAAATATTTTTGTAGTCCATTTACGTCGCATTTCTCATGTCCTGACTTTTTGTGGTTTTTTATTTTCTCTTGTTGATTTTATTGCTTTTTTCTCTTAGTTTTTCTCTTATTATCCTTGGCAGTTTTTTCCCCCATATTTTGGTTTATTTGATTTTCCTTATTACTGTTTTTTTTTTCTTATATTCCTGACTGTGTGCGATCGTATATGTTTTAAGGAAAAAAATATCTTTGCATTCAGAAAAAAATTTTTTTTTCTCGTTTCCTTATTATTGCTTTTTCTTGTTTTTTTTTTATTATTTCATTTCACACAGGATATGCTCTCGTATCAATGATGAAATTTCAAAGATTTGCAATATAATACGAAAGGAAATCATATTAAGGAAGTATAACCATAAGCAACAAGCGCAAAGTATCACGAAATTTTTAAAAATTCAATTCTTTAATAAATTAAAAAGAGAAAACAAAAATTACATACATTTCTCTCTTTTATTTCTTATTTTTCTCTTTCTTTACTCTTCCTTTAATATATTGTTGGTGTTATTGTTAACAGTGATTTTTAAATAATATTATCTCAAGTACATTTTCATGCATTTTGTATATTTAAGAAGGTTTTGAGAAGGAAACAGTTTTCCCGCACACATCACCACATTTGGACTACTTCAATAAATCAATTTTTATAAAATGTGGAAAATATTTGACTTAAGTTATTTATGATAAAGTTTTCATATAAAAATTATAACAAAATTTTATAGGAGGACGTAAAGAATCTATACGAAAAATTCCTAACTTGAACATAAAAATTTTGTATCAATTGGTAGCGAATAAAATTTAATTAATTCCAATATGAATTAGGAAACTAATACAATTAGTCTTTATCACAAAATCTTAATTCGTGAAGTAATCAAATTTATTTTTATTATGAAAGAACAATCAAGTGTGTTGAAGTGCTATGTATGTACTTTAATTTAGTAGTGAGCCTTGTATGCGCCTATCCTTGAAAACTCTACAACTTTAATATTACCTTCGAAACCAAAAGAGCCATGTAAACCATATTAGAAAAATCAGAAATTATCTAAGTCAAAATAACTGTAACAATTATATAGAATAATTGTTTGGAAAATTACCTCAACGCCATCTTCACCTATATCGTCTTATACGGACAAGAAGACTAAAAATTGATAGTAATATGAGACAGACCAAACAACAACAGTATAAGAGAATTTAAATATTATAAACGAAATAAAAGGAAAATATAGAATAGAAATTTACACAAGATCATGCAAATATTTAAATCTTAAAAGAGATTTTATAATTGGAAAATAATCTTATTAATTTTAGGTTTATGAATGATAAAAAATAATGTTATGCTTAAGTCAATCTAGGAATACATCCTGAAGGTAAACAACAAGTGAACTGGTTTAAACACTAAGAGATTGTTGTGGTTGTTGGCTTAATTAAAGAAAATCAGATTTGATAAAGTGCTTACCTATATATACCTGTAACGTTCTTTTCGTTAGATTGACAAGAGTTTTTGTTGCTTATATTGAGTTTTATTAACATGAAGATTCTAAGTTTCAACTTAAGTAGGATTTGAAAAATTCACTCGGATCCTTGCAAAATATTTTGAAATTTTTTTATTAAGTTTAATTTTGTTCTTACAAAATTTCTCTTATTTTTTTTTTGCTAAATAAATTTTAAGATTTTTCATTTTCAAAATACTGCAAATGTAATCCATTATCATCAGAGTTTTTGCCACAACAAGATTAAAAATATGGCGAACAAAAAAAAAAGCACCATCTACTTATATTGAAACTGTTTTTCTTTTCTTCTTTTTTAACACTTAAATTAACACCATATGCATACGTACAAAAAAGAACGAATATGAATGTTTTTTTAAAGGAATATATAAAAATTATACAACATAACACTTGAATAAACCCTTAATCAAATCCCTTAATACCGCGAGAAAAAATTTGTGTTCTCATATGAAATACCTACTACTCTACTCATATATAATAATATTTGTGTTAAATAAATTTTTATATTTATATACACGTACACATATACACACATATATGCAAATATTATCAAGAAAAAATCTTACTTTCTTTTATATATTAAGGACATGGCATTATAGAATTTAAACCACTTTACATGCACAAAATACTTATTCCTCTCTGTCGTAAAGAAAAAATAACACAGAGAAAAAAAAATAAGAAAAATTTAACCAAAAAAAAAAAAAAACAAAAATAAAAAATTAAACATTGAAATTTTCATAATTGAAAAGGACATTTTATAAGGAGTTCTGCAGCAAAAAAAAAAAAAAAATTGAAAAAAGAAAAACAAAAATCCTCGCGAAATGTGCAATGTACGAAAATAACTTTAGTTAATTAATATCACCTCAGTGAAAAATTCCTACTTTTATATTTTATTTTTTTTAGCATTTCTACAAGTGTACATACATATACATACGTACATATAGTTTTTTTAGTGCATAAAAATTATCATTGCCTTATTACATAGATTAAAATAACAGGATTATGGTAAGTAACATAATAACAACAATAATAAATTTTCTTTTTTTAAATCGTGTGCATCCCTACTGTGCACTATGCGCCCTCATTTGTTTTCACTCCTTTCTGTTGTAAAAAATATTTGTTTATGTAAAAATATGTCACATTACAAGAATACAGTATTAAAGGATGTATCGTGAATTAAAGTACCTATAATAAGAAATTAAAATTTTGGATTAAATCAAAATGCATGAAGAATATTTAGGCCATAATAAAAACAGGCTCATTATAGCACAAAAAAAAGTTTTTTTTTTTTAATTCACATGTGAACAATAAAACACTTTGAATATAATTTTGGTGGAGTTTAAGAAATCGGATAAATGAGTCATAAATTAATTGTTTTGTATGATTCTGAAATTAAATCTATTGTACCATACAAATAATCTAATATTAGCAAAAAGAATTATAGTGTTATTGAACCAGAAATCACATCAACACCAAGTACTTATTGAAAACCGCAAATCAGTTGAAAAGAAAATTTTTATACTCCGTTCGATGTGGTATTTTCTATCAAATATTTGATTAGTTTTGGAATTGAAGTCAAAGTCAAAGAATGAGAGCAGTGATGACGCACTAAGGACACCGAAATTTTGAGAATCAGAGTCGTGGTGCCGGAGTCACGGAGTCAGAGTCATGAAGTCATGGAGTTAAAGTCATGGAGTCAAAATCTTGAGGCAGAATAATGGAATCAGAATACAGTCAGTCATTGAGTTAAATTTCTGGAATCAGAGTTGTGAAATCAAAGATGCAAAATCGTTAAGCCAGCCGATTTATGAAGTCAGAGTTGACGAATCGAAGACGAAATCTTAATATTGTGAATTTAAAATCAAAGTCGAAGTTGTAAAACTACGAACGTGAAATGCGAGTCATAGAATTGAGGCAGAATAAAAAAACTAAGTGTTTAAACTAAAAAACTAAGGATGCGCAATTGAAAGCTACTAGATTCTATTCAACATATATTTTGTAAAGAATTTAATGCAAAATTTTTTTTTTTTTTTTAAATTTTGAAATAGAAAACAAACCTCACCTTTTCTCTTTTATATAGTTTTTCTTAATGGATGATCCTGTTACCTTACATGGTGTAAAACATATAATTGTTAAATGCAAAACCATTTCTTCTTCTTCGTGTTCCTTCTTCAACTATTTCTTGTTGTTCCGTTTCTATATACACAAACATACATTAATTCAGAACCTTACAAATATCCTGTAATAATATTTTATATGTGTGTACATTATACTTAAAAACACGTGCATAATGCCTCAAGCTTTTGCTAATTAAGCAAACCATGCATTTCACAGATTACACTTTATATAATCATGCGGATGGAATACATTATTATTATTATAAGAAAAAAAAATATAATATTATACATACACACGCATTTATCCTTCTCGTACTCGTCCGTGTATATACATACATATATATATATATATATGTATGGTCAAATAGAGTAATACCATTACGTATAATTGTATTTGCACATACTTTGGTATGCGATGGTTACGCGATAGCATAAAATGTAAACCTGAAATATTTTTTCTTAAATTTAAAACTTGAGTTTTTTAATGTTAATCTTTTTTTTTATGGTGTTGTTGTTGGTTTTGTAGCTCTTTTACTAATTGTTTTTTTTTTCTTTTTTTTTCTCTGCAAAAATTGTACTTTCTTCAGTTATGTGTGTCCTTTGAGCTTAAATGAATGAACAAAAAAAAAATGAAATAAAAAATTATTAGCATACTTTCATATAAAAGTTATTTGAATTTAAATACTTATGCATGTGAAAAGCTACATACTTTTCTCACTATTTTTATGTATAAATGTAAAATGTTAAAAGGAAAATGTTACAACTACAAAGAAATGTACGTACATTTGTGTATGCACATATATCTTAAACCTATTACATAATCATATGTTATTAAAGATTTACACGACAGTAATCCTCTTTTTCAGAAAAAATATTAAAACTACAAAATGAAACGCAATACTATAAAAGTTGAGTTCAGCGCAACTGGTTCATATAACGAAGATTTCCGAATAATAACATTTACCGTATAAAGTCAATCAAAAGCATGATTTGTTGTTAAACGGCACAATCCAATCAAGTGTATAATTTATTTGTATCGCTTTAACGAGAAATAATAAGTATAAACAATATCATTTTATTCATATGTTACATACTTTTAGGAGGAATCGTAATTTTTTATTGCATATGATTAGGAGTAATTTTGTTTTTATTTTAAAAAGACGGTACTACTTTTTGTTTCGAAGAAACACATGACTGTAAATTGATTTTTTATAAAATATTTAGGAGATAATAACCCGGGAAAATCGATTTAAATTATTTATCTGGTACGTACTGTTTAAATAAAGGAAATACACTAGAACAATTGCTACTAATTTCACTATAACACAATTAACATATACAGTGGTATATGTATGAATATGCATATGTGCAACATACTATAGGATATATTTTTCCTATTATAAAAATTTGTTTTTTATAAAATTTTCTTATTTGCATTAAAGCATGAATTTTCTTGACAAGAATTATAATTAGCACAGGGAATGCGTAATTTAATTCCCTTATTATTTTTTTTCTTTTTAATCCAACAAAATTAGCATGTTCAGAGGGTAGACACCTTCGAGATTTTCCTTTTTTATTTTTTCATATTTTTCTACATCTTTTTGATGTTGTTTTTAGTAAAATTATTAATTAAATTCTATTTAATTTAATTGAATTAGTTAAGAATTATTTATATAGCTTTTCGTTTTTTTTTCATAAAAGTTACTTTAACTTGAAAACTAACAATTTCATTTCTTTTAAAAGTAAAAGTAATTTCAATGATTCTCAAAGTTAAATTTCATTATTTTGGCATAATTTCAAATCAATTCGATTATAGTATTAAATTGAGAGCAAAATTTTATGATGAAAAACCCCCATTTTATGTTAAAACAATTTTTTTTTTTTAAAATTCCTCCTTCTCTAGAAGCTTATACTATAAAAAATCGAGTTGCTGGTGATCGAGTTGCTAGTCACAGAAATCTATAATTTTACGGAGTTTACTAGACACTAATAAATTCTTTACTTCATTAGAATAAAATTTTTTCGAAATTCGTTTCACATTTCTTATGTTAACAACACTCTAAATTAGACAATACAAGTCCATTCCATTCATAACATACAATAAATAACCATTCTGAAAAAGCAAAGTAGTATATGTTTTTCTATTATAAATATTTTTAATGTAAATTGCATCTGGTATGTAGTGAAAATCGTAATCTATTAATATATACAACACCTTTAATAATTTTTTGCTTCTCTCCTAAAAGTATGCAATACGGTAATTTGTTAACGTATAAAGTAATTTTCGTTAAGACAATATTGAATTTATAAATAAGTTTTGAATCCAAAAGCCCCCTCTATTTATAATTTTATTCAAAAATGTAAAATACCTTGATTATCAAAACAACTTTACTGCACTCCTCAAAACCATGATGAAAATGCAACACTTTTCAAGCATAAAATTCAACAAAATATTAAAACTATTGCCATCAATTTTGTTTTATTCTTAAAATTTTCACTAAATAAAATAAAAAATATTATTTTATAATATTAAATTTAATAATATTTTGTTGTCTAAATCATCTGGACTACTTCAATCCCGATACAAATATGAATTTAAAACAGAAACAAGAAAATAAAAAATACTTAAATTTTTAGCACATGTTTAAAAAGAAATTTTCTTCAATTTCAATATTAAATTTATGCTTTTATGTACATAATAAAATATTCATTTCAATATATACATATATATGCACAAAAAATTTGTATGTGTGTTCAATTATAAATTACGATTAAATTTAATACTTATAAAATATATAAATGGTTTACTGTTATGGTATTTATTATGGAAACAAGAAAGGAAAATTCAATCGACTGGAAAAATGTCTGTAAATAGTAAGTTGAAAATTTATTTGACAGCAAAATTAGAAAGTAGAAAAAAAAAATATTAAACTAAAATAAAAATAAAAATGAGAAAAAAAAAAAAAAGGATTTTAAATCTAAAAGTATTTTAGAAGGTGATTCTGCTTCGAATCGTTAACCAATTCGTTCAGGTTTTCCCTTTTTCATTTTTAAACATAAACAAACACACAAACATATAGATTGAGTATTTGAGTCCAAAGTATATTTATTATTTCAATGTATTGAAAGAACAAAAAAGTGAATAAAAATATCCTTTTATAAATACAATAGGTTTATGAAGGTTAAATTCTATTTTATTTCATTTCAGATTCTTTATTTTCATTTTTCTCCTTAAAATGGTAAATTGCTCATTTTTTGTGTTTTATTTTTCTTTTGGTTTTTTCCTATACACTATATTTAATTTATATTGAAAAATGAAATTTACTACACTTTGACATTAAAGATATTTTTCTTCTCATTTAAAATATACGAAATGAATAAAATAAAATTTATTTAAGAAAAAACCGAAAATTTTCTAAAAAAAAAAATTTTTATTGCATCTTTAAAAATGTCTGATCTCATTTAATTTAATATTGTCGGACATAACCATTTTATAGAACAAAAAAAATGTATAAAAAAAATTCTACAGGTGTTTAAAATACAAAAAGAACTTCAAATATTTTGAAGTTATAATTGAAAAGTTTTTGAAAAATTGAAACCTAAAAAATTACTTGAACGATGAGAAAATTTTTGTTCAATTTTAGTTTTAATGAGAATATTTGAACTTTTGTAAATTATGAGCTTCATATTTTTATTACTGACCGATAAATATGAAATTTTTTTTTTCTAAATAAACTTACCGAATTTTTTTGCTCCGAAACAAGTCTAGTTTTCAGGCACTACACTCAAAATATTTCTTAAAAAAAAAAATATTTGTTATACATGAAATTGCTCCCTAAAAAAATTTGGAGTGAAGCTAAAATTTAAGAAATAACTTTGTCTTGATAAAATTGGGATTTGTAGTAGTGCACGAAATGAGTTATGAGAATATTCATAAAATATTCAAGTTTTTGTCAGAATTTCGACCCCGGGAAGCAAAATTAAATCAAAAGAAAAGGGTTGCTTTTCCAAATATGATACACAAAATTTCCGTACTCTGGCTTAACCAGGTTCCGGTTAAATTTACTACAAGTAAATTATTTACTAATAATATTTATTTATTTAGTATTTTTTGAACAAACCTCGTTAAAAATTTTTATTTAAATATTTTCATTTAAAATAAAACAAATGAGTAAATTTTTTCATTTTTTAAAAAATTTTTGTATAATACAAAGTTAAATTAAATTGTAAAACAATTTAAATTTTTAATTTCTTATTTACCCTCCCCCCCCCCCCCCCCTCCCTTTTATTAAATTTTTGTAAAATTTTCGATAAATAAGAAAATATAAAATAGCATTGCAATTGAATAAAATTAATTGTAATTTAGTTTATATATGTAAGATCAAATATACTAAATCTACTTATATATTGTTAAAATTTAAATTTTATAAAATACATGGTTAAAATATGCAACTTTTGCTTTTAATTTTAAATAGTATAAATGAAAATTTTTAAAATTCTTTTGAAAGTAAAATTTTTAAATTATTTTGTAATGAAATGAAAATAAATTCCATGTAATAATATGGTTTTCAAAGTTCATTTATACTGAATAAATAGTAGAAATGGTTTCATACGTACTCTAAATATATAATCAAAGACGATTTACAATTATTTTTCATATTATGGAACTTAAGATAATAGTATTATATAAATATATAAAGACTCACAATAAGTTTTCCACACATGACACCTACCGAAAATATTTTAATTTATTCTGACTAGCTTTAAATTTTACTATTCAATTAAAAAGCCAAATTTTAAACTTCATTGAGGAAACTTCTCAATTTTATGCTAGAAAATAATGTTAGAAATGAAATTTTTATTTCTAGCATTATTTTCTACTATAAAAGTACAAATTTTTTTCATAATTGAAAATTTTTATTTACAAAAATATACTTTAAACTCTACATATGCATTTACAAGAACTTTTATCTCTAATATTGTATGGCAACAATATCATATTACTTCTTTACTTATAGCCAGTTAGATTGCCATAATGAAAATTAATTAAAAAATTTTTATTATCATTAAAAAATTATTTAAGAAATAATAAAACAAATTATGCTTATTTCGATATAACCCCTAGAAATATGCAATTTTATAACTTTCGTGCTCGTGTTATGATATGACGCGTTATTATAATGCACATTTTATTTTAAATTGATAATGAAGTTTCAAAAAAATAAATCATTTAAATGAAATTCTACAATTTATCTACAAATTAAACTTACTTGTTATTTTTCATGAAAAATTTTAAGTTTTCAAAAATCACACGTTCCTTAACAAAATCTCCTTAAAATTGTAATTAGAAAATCGTCTTGTAATCGCAATTAAGTCGATTTGGTACAAACTGTCTTTCATTTTCCTCTCGAATGGCATAATTTTTTTCCTAAAAAAATTATTTTAAGAAATTTGTCAAAATTAATTTAAAAAGAAAAAATTAATTACTTACATAAAACTTTTGAAATTTCCCAGAAATTCAATTCATTTTCATAATGACCTGATTTTTATATTCAAGTATAACACAATTATTTTGTCAAATAATTAATGTATTAACACAAATTTATAATTTCTTCGTAATCTGTAATAAAATAGAATTTTATAATAAAATCATTATTAAATTAATTAAGTAAAATAAATTGAAATAAAAAAAAAAATTTAAATTATTTTTTTTTTAATTTTTTGTCTCTTATAATTTCAATTCACAATATTAAATGTATATTGCATGAATTACAATATTGTATCGCATATCGTCTTCCGTTAATATGATGAACGCGACTTAAAAAATTACAAAACATATTATGGAATTTATAATCAAGTATTTTACATTCGTATACAAAAAATATTCACTTGAACAAGTAGGTTTACATAATATGCACATATGTACATATATACATGCAAAAAATAATAATTTATAATAATCCCCTAAGTGCATTTTGTAATAATAATCATAATCATAATAATAAATTGTCAAATGCAATTATCTATGATTATGACAAGTAAGGGCTAAAAAAATAAAAAGAAACAGAAAATAAAGTAGCAAACAAAAAAAAATAAAAAACAAAAAGTTATAAAGTGAAATAGAAGAATCAGAAAAAAGAGAACAAAAAAACAGAAATGATTCAGTAGGAAAATCTATTATAGTATTTAGAACAAGGCTGAATCTGCCAGAAGCTAAAAAAATTATTTGACGTTATTTTTTTCGCGAAATCTTTCTCCTACTTCTATAGGTCTGAATATAGAAGAATTAAAAAAAAAATAAATAATAAACACTGTATATGAAACAATTTTTATATATGAAATTATGATTTAAACGTTTGTGAAATGTTAAAAAAGTAAAAAATTAAGAATAAAAAAAATAATAAAAATAATAATAATGATCATTATATAATCATTATTATCATCGTTATCATCGACATCATTGCGTTATCATTTCAAATTTCAAATATAAATTTGTATGTATGTATATTAAATGGTATGACTGTGTGTATGTATAGAGTTGAATTGCAATGTTGAAACTCGTCATAATTCCAACGATACTGTTTATTTTTTTTTTTTTTTATAATAATTTATTTGTATTAAAATTGCATTGAAAAGTGTTATACTCTTAATTGCGCTTTAGCATTTCTGTAATTATCAGCAGTTTTTGCTTCATAATTTCTCCCGTTATATTTTTATTATTGTTATAGTTTTTTTTTTTGTTTTCTCTTCTTTTCTGTTATTGTTTTTATAATTGTTATTTTTTAATTTTTGTTTTTTTTTTTGCTTTGTTATTTTTATTTTGTTTTTTTTTTTTATTTTCAAATTAAAAACAATGTAATCTTTTTACACTTTGATTTTATACGGCATCATAACGGTTTGAATTGAAATATTTTGTTTTTGTTTTTATTTTAAGCTTTCACTATTTTCATCTCGCTCTCTTGATTTCTCTTTTTTTTATATTTTTGTTTTTATTGTTTGTTTATTGTTTTCTTCTCTCTCTTTATCATTAATTGTTTAATTATTCGGAATGGAATAAAAAAAAAAAATTTTTATTACGAATTTTAATATTGTATAATGCAGATATAAATTTTACATTTGTATATATATATGTTTATTGTATATGTATGCATGAATAAATTATAATATTTTAACACAGTGAAAATTAATTTTTTTTTTTTTTTGGTATAAAATTTGTCTTGTTATGGTATATTTTTTAACATTCAGTAAGTGTACTTATATATTTAAAGTATGTAAGTGTGTATATCATGAAAAAATTAATTGTCAATTTTCTTCCTAGTGTCAAATTATTTTTTACATACTTGTAATATTATACGCTATAGTGAAACAAACAGTTTTAGATTAATTAATGCAAATGCCAGGAAAATTTTGTTTTAATATCTTTATCTTTTGAATGTGAATCTGAAGCAACCTACTTTAAAATATTTTATGCTAAGTACTTATGCGCATACATACATATATACACACGTTTTTTAACAATATAATTAAAGTTCCGTCTCGTAGTGGTTAACATTCTTTTCCTAAAATTTCTCATTTATAATACTAATTCTAATTAATAATTATTAATAATAATATTAATTGGCTATATTTCTCTAAATAATAAGTACTCAAGCGACAACACTAAAAAATATGTACTAAAAAGTACATTTGAAATTTTATAAACTAAAATTTTTAAAATAATTTTTAAATGACTCAAAACCAAATATATTTTATTTATAACATCCGTAATTTTAAAATTTTATATAATATTAATTTAGTTTATGACACAAATTCAACAACATTAATACGTTCTTTTTTTTGTTATATAGAAAATGTACTAATGCTCTGCGAATTTCAGTAAATTTAATTTTATCTCTTATAATTATCTCTTTTTCTTCCTTATTTTAATAAAACAATTTTAATTACACTATATAATAATTATATAAAAAAAAATAATAAATAATCCGGAGAAAAATAATAAATATAGAACAACAAAAATAAACAAAAAAAAAAAATAAGGAAAAATTTAAAAAAGTAGGTGAAATAATAATGGACAAAAGAAAGTCAATTTGAAAGGTAATGAGAGTTTGCATATAGTTTTAGAGAATTTATAAAATTTTTTAAAATATTTTTGTATATAGAAGAGCTTCATAGAAATTGCAATTAAATTTATTTTTTATGTACTACTGAAATTTTCATTTGTGCCATATTCCAACACCAGAGGCTGCTTTATTTAATAATGAATGTTGTTGCAAAAATTAAATTTTAGAAAAAAAATATAATTTCGAATTTTCTGTAAATTTCTTTAATGTCATAATAATGTTAATTATTGTTATACGAGTTACCCTCAAATTAAAATATTTAATATATTTTCCAATTTTTTATAACAATTTTCAATAATATTAAATTTAATAAATTGAAATCAGACAATAATAACACTTTCAATATTAAATTATATTTTCAACAATGTATTAAATTTTATTATTATGTAGCTATTTATGAAATAATAGTTAAACAAAACCAAAAGGCTCAGACATTTTTTTATTTTTTTCTATTAAAATAAAACAAAACAGTCAAAGACACCAAACATGTGCTATGTATTACAGGACAACTATTTATGCATCTTATATTGATCCAGTTCAGCATTATCATTTGCCATAACAGTATTACCGTTCAATACAATTCAATTCAAATATATACATATTAAATATATTTATGTGTGTATAGATAAATTTTTTTTACAAGTTAATAAAATTTCTACAAAGTCTAATAATAATAATGTGAATAAAACAAAATAAGAGATGAAAACAAAAAAAAAAAACAAATATTTTTGCAGTGTCTCTACCAAAAAAACAAAACACAAAGGAAAATAAGAATTTTCCAATTTTCATCAACGATTAAATACAAAATCTTTAGGTAGATTATGTTATATGATTTTATGAAAATTTTTTTTTCTATTTTCTAACTTTATCATTGCATATAACAGAATAAAGGATAATATTCATTTTCTGTTAACAATATGTAATGGTATTTATAGGTAGATGTCTCTACTTGTCTATCATATGATAGTATTACTGAATACAGTAAATATACTGCGAAATCAATCTATACAAAATGTGTCAAAAATTATTTAGGTTACAAAAATAAAAGAAATTTTCATCATAGGCGTAATTACTGTAATTTTCATAAAATTTAATTAAATAAAAATTTATAAAAATTTTTTAAAAAATACTGCAATTAAATTTAATTTTGGAAAACTTTTTTCGATTAAAACAATAAAAAAAAAAATAATAAAATTTGAATTGAATGGTTAAAAAATTTAGGAATTAATGCACAAAAAAAAACGTAAGCTCTGAAATGTTCAGAAGACTTCCGAAATGTTCGGATGAAATACAATGCGTTTTCTTCAACAAATAAATTTCAATTTAAGTAAGTAAGTAAGATAGGGGGGTTCCACCCATATACCCGCGCATAGCCCATGCACTAGGCCAACAAAAAAAGGCTCATCGGCAACCTCCAACAACCCCCGTGCAGTCCGACACACAAGACCCCCTATCCAAACCAGCCAACCTCCCTGGTGAAATCCAAAAGCCGCGCAAGAGACACCCCGGAAAGGTCTCCCAGGCCATCGTAAAAATAAGCTCCCAAGACACGCCTTCTTCTCCACATCAGAAACTGACAGGCACAGAGGACATGCTCTACATCATCCACCTCCGCCACATCCCGACATCCACGATATACATCCGTCACAGCCACCCCAAGCCTCCTGGCCATTTTTCTTAAAAGGCAATGCCCCGTCAGGACCCCCACTAGTGTGCTGAATTTCAATTTAACTCGATATCAAAATTTTTTTTTGGAATACTTTGAGTTTCCACTCCATAAAACAAAAGCTGAAAGTGTTTAACTCAATGATAGATAAAAAGTAGACTACAGCAAAAGAATGTAAGAGCAATTTACAGTAAAATTTCCTAGCTTAAAATGGACAAAGCAATCCAAGAATATGTGTTCTTGCTAAATCGTGTCAACGTATTTACCAAAAAGAACGAAAATTAGTATATAACGAAGAAGAGCACGTTATACACAAAACAACTTGCCTAGGCATACAATGAATGAGATGGCCGTCTTTAACTTACAATACTTTTGCAACCAATTTGGTATAAAATTTAATAATTAAATGTTGAATATAATGATGAAGGTAATGCAGTTAACTTAATACTTAAATTAATATCTTGTCGAGCTTTATATAATTTTATTTGAATTGGAGAACACCACATTTTATTTTTATCATTCTATTCCACAAAAAATGTAATACAGAGTACCGTTAATCAAGATTCAACTGTATTTTATAAAAATATAACACAATATAGTTATACAAATTCTTAAAAGTATATTATTTTATTATTG